TACAGTTGGCGAGATCAAGCACCACCACATCATCACAAACATCGATTTTGATCTTTGAGTTTATCTCGGAGAAGGCAGAATTAGAAAACATATAATTAGGCTTATACATAGATTTTTGCGCTATCAGTACGGCCTAAAGAAATGAGCTCAACCAGGCTAGTCAAGGCGGACCCAATTCAAGATATGGAAGACAAGCTATCAAGGTAGGCAGGACTGTGACATGCAATGCATTAGACATAGGAGAAACGTGACATGTCCCCCTTGTCAGTAGTTGGTTTCTCCTTAATTTGCTCTTTGCTTTTCAAAGATGTTTCGGCTATTACCGATCATGTTGATAATTCTGATGATGATGATCCTATTGTTACTGAAATATATTTGTGAATAGAAACAATTATGTTCTACAAATAACGTTTGCAAGTAGACTAGGGTGTTGCTTGACAAAAATAAAACTTTTTTCGGCGACTCTATATGTGAAATGTAAGCACAAATGTTTGCTTGCCAATGAATTTCATTCGATAAGATAAGCTCTCCAGTTGAAAAAAAATGTGGAAAAGCTACCCAAAACCATGATTTCTCTCGGGTTTTTATCTTCAGGGCATAGTAGAGGAACATATGTGAGTGGACAAGATTGTGATCTAACTGTAGATTATAATTATTATGATTTATCATATTAATATCTCCTTTAATCTTCATTTGCAACAACATACCTGTTTCAAACTGGAGATTGCTAATATGACATATTATTTTATAGATAGTCACCCAATCTCCTGTTGAAATACGCTTGGTTCGTATCTGATGAAAGCAACGTAAAAGAAAATACGATCTTTTGAATCGACCAGATGAAAGCACCCAGAGCATAGTGGATTTCCTGATTTTTCAGGACACCCACGATGTTGAATCCGTGGTTACCACATGCAGATCCACATTCCCGTAGACTTATTTCTCCCCCGACTCTTTCAGATATGTCCACAGCGTACTCAGCTGTTTCTTCATCTCTGTTGGTAGATGTACTATGGCTTATGATGTCCAGAAAACTTTCCTAAAGGGCACCTTATGTTGTGGGATCAAGCAAACTATGACGAAGTTTGATCACCAAGTGGATAGTGTCTTGGATGCTGACCACACTATCGGCTACGTTGATTACATCATGTGGCCCATATATTTTACTTTACTTTACTTACAATACTGGTTTGAGCTTTCATTGCAGTTAGCAGACGCGGACAATGAGCACCTACTTTTATACCAGCCTTTTGTAATTCAGCTTTCACGTACTGCCATCTTTGGATCACATATTCATGAGTGAATTTGTTATCACTGCACATGTCCAGTACACAAAACGGCGATGCTCCGATGGCTAATATAGCATACACATATTCTCCAACAGGGAAGCTTTCAAGATAGATGATCATTTTCTTCACAGAACTTGCCAAGAAATGTTTCTGTTTCGGCATCCCGTCATCAGCGTGTGCCTTAACGTGCCGAGAAGTGTGTCATACTGTGTTCCGGCACAGTGTGCACAGTTGATTCCCCCTTGCACGAAACTATTAATGTGGTTGTCTAAAATTCAAAAATTGCTCAAGTTCAACCAAATCTCGGATTTAAATTTGGAATACTATGCAAAATATCTTTGTCGAAGACTGCAAACCGTTGTAACTTGTGAGAAACAAGTTGTTCAGAATTCAATGAACATTGATTCTCATACTTTTATATCTCTCATTTCCTTAAAAATTGTCATCCGAAAAACAACATAAAACCAACTCGCTAAATGGCTCCACCTCGAGTCGTAGCGTGAAATTCAATCAACTTTCTTCATTCTTTCCGTGTTTATGATGTCTCACTTGGCATATCATGGCCTACTCAAACCTCCAGCGAAACCTTCCCACCAAAGCAGCCGAGGAGTGATACGTACTTCTTCCCGACAATGACAACAACACAAAATAATTTCCCGCATTCCTTCTCCAATCCCGCCTCCCAACCACCCCCTAGGCACATCACAGCAAGCCGGTAGTGGTGGAAAAACAGGTAAGAAACGGCAGCCGGTGTAAGAAAAAAAAAAGAAGTTACTTTTTATAATATCTCTGTTTGCTTTGTTGGTCCTGGCTGGAAAAGCCCCCGGCATGCAGACTCAGTACATTCGCGACCGCATGTGATTTTTGACTTTCTTCAGTATAAGTATGCGTGGGGGTGGAAGCAATAAAAAAAAATCGCAGCCCTGTAGTACTTACAAATGCATGAGCTTCGACAACCCTGCTCTCTTTCTCTACTCTGGGTAGGTAAATTTTAGTTACCCCCCGAGGGGAGCGACAAAAATTACTCCTCCCACCCAAACGATCAAAACGAAGGAAGACAAAAAAAACCGATGATGCCACCCCCTTCGCTTGCAACCGTTTCGCAACAGACAACAGAGAGTGTGTAGCTCGGCAGTCACATGAACGACGCACTGCCGTAACTCAGAGAAAGAGAAGAAAAAAAAATATAGGTGGAAGGCACAGAGAAATGAATAAATTGGATTATGTTTATGAAAAAACATTTAATACAAATATAGGAACAAGCCGAATGAAAAAGTGCTTCTCCTTTGTCGATTTGCCTGGCCTGACTGCCGTTGAGTACTTTCCTCCCGTCTTATTTTGCCGAATTTGATGAGGGAGATGAGTGAGGCAAAAGGCATCGTTTTACATCTTTTTCTCCACAGGGCATAACGACAAACAGCACTGAGGAAGTTTTCTTTTCTTCACTTTTAATATATATTTAAATTCGAGCACAAAATGCTCATTTGTATCGACAGCGCGCGAGTCAAATGTAGCGAAAAACTTTTGCTCGACTCTAAGTAGGCCGGTGGGTTTTGCTTGACTTGGATCAAATGTACGCAAAACAGAAAAGAAAATAAGTTACCCAGGAGAACAGCAGAAATAAAATGGATTGATGTAAAATTGCAAAATGATTATGAAAATGGATCTAACTTCGTTATGTTACGATTGACATCATTATTGTCATCATTTGTTTTCCTCCCTCTGTTTCGGATCGGCACTGGGACGAAGAGGTGGCTTGTTTGCCCTTCGCCGCCTGCTTGGCTCGGTAATGTCACGGTGTTGTACGGGAAGTGACAGCAAATAATAAAAATAATATCTCCGAGGGTGGTTGGTTGGTGGCTGCATGAAGCCGAGATGTGTACACACAAACACAATATGGAGTGCAAAGCCAGAAAGTAATAGCAAGGTTCAGCGGTTTTCAATAGCGCTGATAACGCGATTTGCTGAAAAGTTTACAAATGCATGCGACAGAAATTTGCATACCGGTCGTTTGGAGAAGTGGAAAAGCGAAAGAAAAATTGCTGGTAGGATAGAAGATACATAAAAAAAAATGAAACAACTGGGTCGTTGATACAATGTTGTTGGCAGTTTTTGGTAGCGGTGGAAATGTCTTTTTGATATCATCGGTGAAATTGGCATGAGGCAACACCGCCGACCGGAACTAATAAAATTATGGAGAAATTATGGTGTTGAAGCAGAAGGGTCGTTGACTGAATGGAAGAACGTTTTGCGTTGCTTCATTGTTTTTTAATGTAAATGAATTCGGAAAATGGAGATACAGTTTTGGCTTGGTAATCAGAACGTTACACTGGTGTATTCTCAGGCAGTTGAGCGCATGTAAATCACCCAATTTTTGTTTGTACCGTGCCGATTCAAATTTCGGACACTTAAACTCGAATTTCGGACACTTTTAAAAGTTGATTATCTCGGTCGAATATGATCCACATGTCTTGTAAATTTTAATTTTTTTTGACTAGTGCCCTCCACGATCATCTAACATTATTACTTTGTTTCTAACTGGATGTAATATTTAATTAAAAATGAAAGTGTCCGAAATTTGAATCGTCCGAAATTTGAATCGGAACGGTATAATATTTCAGCGAACATTTTTTTTACTTAGATTTGCATTTCGTTTGTTTAAGGTTGATCCTAATTCATGCACGAAATATGTCAATGCTGTTCTAACAAGATAACAACGAGAAACATTTATCAATTAATCTTAACTCACAATTAAGGATCTTCCAAAAATTATTATGGGTCAGTCGGTCTAGCGTGTTAATTGAATGGAAGTGATCCATGAATATACCACAGGCCTCCGGTTGGTTTTGGTGGGGGACAGATGTGTGCATATCATCGTATACTTTTTCGGTACTATGGATCTGCTCAGTCACAATTTTAACTGCCCGAGCGTGAGCAGAAGACTCCAGGTACAGGTCAATATTTAATTGCAAATGCACTCAATTTTTTTTTATCGAAACACAATCGAATAAATCCATCCAGTCAATTTTTGTCGTGTTTGAGATCGATTAAAAAAATCAATTCATCGAACCAAAAGAATCGATCTAAGATCGCCCATTGTTAAAAGCAAGACTATGCTGTTCTAGGAATTTTTCGGGTAAAAACATTTCTCGACTTCCCTAGGCATAGAAATTGCCACACAATTATAACGCAGAAAGTGGTCAACGAACCAAGGTTGCAAAGACTCATTTCAGCTAAAATAATGTTTTTCGGAATAATAAAACCAAAAGATGGTATGATGGCAGGTTTTACTTGTAACTTACAAGAAGAGGTTACAAAGTATGCGTTGGAAACATAAAACCTGTAAATTTTGCTTTCTATGAGTCACAATCAGCGATTTGCTGATCGCTGAGTGAGTGAGTGAGTGAGTGAGTGAGTGTGTGAAAAATCGCTCATTGTGACTCTCATGAAGTGAAATAAACAGGTTTAATATGTCAAACACATTCTTTGCAACCTCTTCTTGTATCCTACCAATTCAAAATTTGATCATGGCATCTAATTATTTCATAATTTAGAAAAACATTGTTTTAGCTGAAATGAGTCTTTGCAACCTTGCAACGAACTCTAAGTTGAGGGGCAGATATTCATCCTTAACGATTGCAAATAACTACCAATTATTGTTTTATTTTCCTAATAATCGAACTAGTAATCGAAAATAAAAAATAAACTTACCGGAATAGTTCTGCCAGAACGCACCGGTCGCCATGATGTCAAGTCCCGGATAGTTCCACGGCTTCCCTTCCGGAACCTGTGGCTGAGGGGGTGATACTTCCTGACTGGCCCCCCTGCACGCGACCGGGCTGCCCTCCTTGGAAAACCGTTCCACCGAAGATCCTCTCTCGCGATCCCGGTCCCGTTCGTGCCGTTCCCGACTCCGCTCCCTGTCGGAGTCCCGATCCCGCATTCGGTCCGAATCGCACCGTTCCCGATCATCACGCCCCTTCTCGCGGTTCTTCTCCCGTTCGCGTTCCTTTTCGCGCTCCTTTTCCCGTTCCCTTTCCGCTTCTCGTTCGCGTTCCCGCTCCTTCTCACGCTGCTGGTCATTGCTGATGTTTTCTGAAAATTCAAACAGGGGGAAAACGTAAATCAGTTGTAAAATCACGTTTCACGGATTTTGGCTGTCACCACCCCAACCCCAACTCCGCTTACCTGCGATAATCCGCAACGCTTCGGCTGGTGCTCCGGAGGCTTTGATAATCTCTTCCAGCTGAGTGCGACGTTTCCGCTCGGCATCTAATCGCTCTTTCAGCTGAACTCGCAATCGACGCTCCTTTTTGAATCGTTTTTGATAAAGCCCTGTAGGATAACCGTGGCAGATTGGGGTAAAAAGAAGCAACAGATTTTTTTTTTCGTTAGGTTATTTGTGGATTACTGTAAATTCACAATATAATCAAGTTCTGCTGACGACGGAGCTGTTCATTTCGGAGTTCCTCCGAAATCAACTTTATTGTGATTTATGACGCTAAATCGTTGACGAATTTCATCAATCATTTATGAATTATCTCCCCAAACTGTTCTCCTCTCTGAGGGACAAAACACAACTCATAACAAAGAAAACGGAAAAGTAAATCCAGGTTATCTTCGTCTCTGGTGCTTTCTTCAAGGTATAATTTGCTAATCCAATTTAAAATATATATAAATACGAGAACGCATTCGCCCAACAACTGGCATCGGGCGGGTGGCGGGGAAAGGACTGCTGGTTGATGGTTTCGTCGAGCAGATTGAAAAGAAATATAATAATAATAAAGCATAAAGCCCTTTTCTTACCTCGGAGTCGCTTTTCGTCGGCCAACTGGCGTTCCAGGGAATCTTTGACTTCGCGCTCTCGAATTACGTCCATCTTCAGCTCGGCTGGTTTCGCGAAAGGTGGAATTACATCGTGTTTGAGGAGAGGGGGTAATAATAGCAGAAAAGTGGTCAAGTTTGATTAATATTAATTATGGCTGGTGCACTGCATGAAGGGATAGAGAGTTGATTTGTATTAATCGGATCGATGAAGTGTTGGATGATGAATGCCGCTCTACCGCTGGCAGGTGATAGAAGTAATGAGATTCTGTACTTGGAACATTGTGGAAACTATGCTTAATGAACTGAGAAGTCATAATTTAAGAAATATATATATATTCTAAATGACGGATTTGGAAAATTCCTCCACCTATTGTCTTCCGGGGGTAGATTAATTCCATGAGCGCTCAGTTTTTGCATGAGGATACATAATAATTAACCAATGGAAGCCGCTTCTGTCAGTAGTCACATGCACAGGGTGGCCAGTGAATTTTTATTTTGAAATTCTTGGTTTGTCCCCGGTTTTCCAATTGAAATCGCAAAAATCCCGGTTTTACATACTCATTGTTACATACTCATCGAAATTAATATGAAGCTGATGAAGCAGAAACATTAAATAATATTATATGTTTATAATTATTAAGCAGGTTATTTCTCGTCATGTTAGTTATTCATCACAATTTTTAGCATTATTGTTAGTATCATTCGAGCAAAATATATTTAATTGCTTTATATATCCTATACATTTCAGTGTTGCATCCACCTGTTGTGAGCTGAGGAGGTGTAGAGCTGCATCTTATTATATATGTAAAATACTTCTTCATTGCAGTAGCAACTATGTTATCCATATAAATGTATTTCATTTTGTCATATTTTAATGTTCTGATATATTTCATTTCTCCATTGCATATATTTTTATTATATAAATAAATACTGGGTTGGGAGGGAGCATCAGGGTATCATTCAAACTGAAACTGGACGATGGTATGATTGACAGCCGGAGTCTAGGAGGGAATAAACACTATCATTTTCTTTATCCTACCGATTCGATTGTGGTGATGTGAATCTCTACTCCTGATGGCTACCTTACATACATACATACATACATACATATGCAATCATGGGAAACACATCTCGCTGCTGGACAGTGAATAACAATTTATTGAAAATTATGCGGCAAACTAAAAAAAAATCTTCAGGATAATGCAATTTCATAAACTTTAAAAATTAACAAAAAAATTAAAAAATCAATATTTTTTTAAAAAATTTTACCAGCCTACACTTTCACCATGTTTGAAAAAATTTCTTCAGTTTTCTTAATAAAGAAAAAATTATCATTATAGAAGGGGTGTGTTTTGAGGTAATCAACGTTTTACGTTTGCTTAGTATTAATTTTTTAAGTTTTTTATTTCCGTGCATAATTTAACTAACTACAACTTCTTTTCAGATGTCAGCTTGATCAGATCAATAGTTTAAAAAAAAAACTTTAATACGCTGTTTTTAAAAGTTACTGTGTAGAAAAAAATCCTATTGAAATGAAAAATGCAACCATTGATAGCTGTGAATATGCGAGCAAAGTTTCATTCAAATCGGAAGTGGTCGAGACAAAATTGACATATTTTTTTAGCGTTTTGCGCTGGAAATGCTCTATAGAACTAATAAACAGTGCAATCTGGAAAATGGTTAGAAGACTATAAATAAACATTTTCGCATAGTAATTTCCATACAAACTTGAAATGGTTTGTACCAAGTCAGTTTCCTACCGAATGAGTTTAAATTTTTGAAGACTGGACCTGATTTAAGACCGTTTGAGCACTGTGGAGCAAAAATTTCAAATTTTTCATCAGTCTTATGTTCAGGGATCCTGTAATTTAGAAAGAAATTCTATAGAATTCTGAGGAGAAGACCCATATGACATTTTTAAGAAGGATTGAAATGGAATAAAAGCGATAATTTGAGAGAAATGTTGAGATGAAAAATTACAAAATTTTGGTTAACATCCTAAGGAAAATATGACCAGGATTCCAAGATAATTTAGTAGATGTCCTAAGGAATTTTGATCTGAATTCCAAAGATTTTCTGGAAAGAGATAAGTAAGTTCTGAAATTAATTCTTATTTTATTTTTAGACTATTTTTATAGAGGTTGTGAAAAGAACCTCATAGTGAACTGTTACTTTACAGACAAAAATTATGGGGAGCATGAGGTAAACAGCTTGTAAATTTTAGCAATAATTCAAACAGAATTTTAACGAGAATTCAAAGAGTATAAAAAGACTCAGGAAAATTGCAGAGTAAACTTTTCAAATTTGGTCTTCAGATACTAGGATTTTTGAGAAAAATTTTTATTAAAATTTTGAAAACATTTTCAAACGAATTCCATTTTCAGGATAGTATTAAAGGATTTGTGTGGATTTCGAGTAAATTCTATGGGGAATTTCAAGAGAATTCCGAAGACAATTCCAAGGAACGAGTAGAGCCTCAAGGGTGTTTTCTTGTGAGATGTAGATTCCATGGAAAAACAAGCTTATCATATTTGTATTACTTCATGCGTGAAGCTAACGATTTACATAGTTGGAGATGCCTCACGTCAAATATCAGACTTAAAGTGGTCATTTTATACGACCGATGAGGAGATGTTTATAGAGAATAGAAAGCGAGCAAAGATCAATTTTGAAGAAGGCACGAATCGGGTTGATCATCTGCTTTACCAAACTTTCCTGTTGGAGATGGATGGTGAGGGGTATCTCCCCTCGCCACCACGGGCAAAAGCGATGATCGCCGATTTGGTCAAGTACCTTCAATGTGCGGAAACAGTTCTATCGATTGTTTCACACTCAAGTCGTCATCTGACGTAAGCATCTAGTCCAGCGTTTCTCAATCTATGGGTCCCGACCCACCGGTGGGCCGAGAGTTGTTATCAGGTGGGTCACAGTCAGTCAGACAACTTGGTCATGCAGGCATGGAAAATCATTTGCATTCATTTCGTGCATTCATTTACATTCATTTGCCCCTTACTTTTTTCATCGACAGAATTTCGCAAAATGATGTATGGAGCTTTAGGAGATTCTTTTTTATTAGATATATTAGCTACAACTTTTGTCAACAACTCAAATCCGTATCTCTTATGTATGGCGAACCAGAGCGAACAGAAGCCACTACTGTTTTTCAGTGAACGTATTTTACATTCTCTGAAAAACAGTAACAAGTTCTGCCCGCTCTAATTCGTGATGCATAAGAGATACAGATTTGAGCTATGGGCAAAAGTTGTAGCTAATAATAAAACCTACGGAAGTTCTATACATCATTTTGCGAATTGCTGTTGATGAAAAAAGTTAGAGACAAATGAATGTAAATGATTTTCCATGCCTGTGGTCATGTATGAAAAAAAATATCGAGAATCATTTCTCTGAATTAAAAATTATGTTGAGATAATCCAAATTAACAATTTGCTTCAAATGATTCTCAATGCCATTTTTTTAAATTAATTGGTTATTAATTATGCAAGTTGTTTTGTCATTTTCATGGTCATTCAATAATTTAATTTATGGATTATTCTGCCGTTACATGCATTTTTGGTGATTTCTAGACCATTTCAATATTTTAAAGACTTCATTTTGGAGAGGTTTGGCCATTTTGAAATTATTAGACCATTTTTGTCGTCATTTATAGGCTGTGTTTGAACTATTAAATGCTATGCTTTTTGTCCAATTGGAAAGTTTTTGCCATTTGGAATTTTTTAATCATGCTTGGCGTTTTGAAGAAAAGCTACATTGCAAGTTTTATCAAGGTTTTAAAGCATTATTTGTTCTTAAATCATGGTCTATAACACTATAATAAAAGCACAATTATTACTTGGGTTTTGACGATCAATGAAATTTTAGGATTAATAAAATAGTTGTTTGGCTGTTTTAATGATTTTAAGGTCATTTTGGCGTTTTAAAGCCGTTTGGAAAACAGCAGGATTATTTAGCGATTGACGGGCCGTTTTTGGTGATTTGACGTTTAAAAGGTAATCCTTTGTTTTTTTTGCAAGATATTTTTCAGGATTTTCATGGCATTGTAAAAGGCCATTTCAGCGATCTGAGGCCATATTTACGATGTTAAGCCATTTCTTGTAATCGTAATTTGGCGTTGCAAGTTGGCCCGGAGTCGATCGAACTAATATGTCCGTTTAATACTACGTATACGCTTCGATTACACCTTCAGTGTTTTCAGATTATTTTTGCATATTCGAAGTCATTTTAGGACTGGTGTTTAGCACAATTTTGTCGTTTTTATCTGTTCTTACTTGTTTGGCATTTTGTTGTTGTCAATTTGGAGTTTTGCAGGTTTTGGGTTTCCGACAATCATGCAGCGTTTTAAAGCAAATTTGCAGATGTTAAGGTTTTATTTAATATCTGTATTAAATATTCGTGGATCGTGAGCTAACGGAGTTTCTCATAGTGGGTCGCAATCGACCAAAGTTTGAAAACCGCTGATCTAGTCGATAGGTTTGGAAGAATGTTTATTGATACTGAACAGATTAATATTAAACCATTTTGAAAAGTTACATATGTTGAAATATTCATGACTCAGAGACCATGAAATATCAGAAATTAGCTTTATAATAAGCTGGTGCAAACAAAACACATCAACATAATTTACTTGTACATTCATAGTAGATAACAATACAAGTTAGAAACCATATATTAGTCATTATTGATGTTTCCCGATTCTCCCGTCGACTTCTATTCTCGGTTACTTCTCTTATTCCCAGTCACTTCTCTAATTCCCCGTTATTTCCCAGTTTTCAGGTTTTCCCGGATTGCTGACCCTCCTTGATCCCTTGATCATGCAGGTGGACACCTACCTTAAAATGTATGTGCTTGGTAGTTGTTAATCTGAGAATGTATGAAGATTTTTCGTTTTTGCTAGATTATCGCTAGACCTCCCTTAGTTCAGCCGGTAAAGGCGCAGCTACAAAGCAAGGCCATGCTGGAGGCAGCTGGGTTCGATTCCCGGTCCGGTCTAGGAATTTTTCGGGTTGGAAAATTTCTCGACTTCCCTAGGCATAGTACTTGTGATA